AAAAATTATTGAAAAACACAAATATACATAGACTAGCAAATGATATCTGTTTATGTGATATTGTACTGGCATTCTTAGATTTGCCCTTGAGCGTTTCATAATAAAAAGTAAGTAAAAAATCAGTCAGTCAGTTTGTCAGTCAATATATAATACGTAGATCATACTGTAAGTCCCATCATTTTCAATAATAATAGTATGTAAAAGAATAAAGAGGATCATAAATAAATAGATTTTATTCAACTAAAAATATAGAGGAAGGATCACGCTTTCGTCGGTGGGGAATAGCAAAAAAAAAAAAAAAAAAAAAAAAAGGTATATCGGCATACACTAATGATATTATACTAACTACTATCAATTTCAAAATCCAAAAAAGGTGGAAGTGAACTAGTTTGCAGTTGCTTTTTGTTTCTTGTCCTCCAAAGTCATTTTGTTCAGGGTCTTGATATCACCTTCGCGCAACAATTCGTCCTTTTGAGTCGAGGTGACACCGTTGTGATGGAGAGCAGGAAAGGCCTTTCGTGGTAGGGGGATTCGATGGTCATCCTCGTCGTCTTCATCATTGCCATCATTACCATTGTTGTTGAAATATCCATTCATCAATTGGCGTAATCGAGGACTGGCGGGTGCTGAGAGCGGCATCGGTATTTTCATTGGTATTTGATTCAATTCTTCTTCATCCTCGTCGTCAACAAAAGAGTCTGGGTATGCCCGTCGAAGCGCCAGCTGCCGCGCCTTGATATATTCCAATCCCATTCTCTTCCAATCCAGTAAATCAGAAAGTCGTTCCGTTCTGTTTCGCTGGTTGATGCGTTGCCGTCGTGTTTTTTGACAAAATCTAAACATTTGTTCGCTGAGTTGGTCGATCGATTCTTCTACTGATTTGAGTCGTCGATCTACTATATAAATACCATAGTCTTCACAGTTTTCAATGTTTTCGTCCATAAAGCATCCAAATCCAGATAAGCTATAGAAAAGAAAAGAAAAACAGAGAGAGAGAGAGAGAGAGAGAGAGAGAGAAATGGAATCACTGAGTATATCATCTTCAGTATGAGTAATATATTTCTGGGGAGCACTTACTTTGTTGTAATGGAAGGCACACCCATGACAGTACATTCAGCAGGAGTATACCCCCATGGTTCATAATAAGAAGGAAACACACCGAGATGGCACCCACGTACAAATTCTTCATAATCCAAACCAAGAAGAGGATTGTTGGCATTCAAAAATTCGGGATGAAAGATCACCTTGACACGATCATCAGCGTGGTTGAAGAGATGTAATCGTCGCAATTGGTTCATTACAGGGTCAGTGCCATCATCCACCATATTATGAGTCACTATGGGAGGAAGCGTATGCCGTTTAAGAGCAAATACCCGGCGTTTCAATAGAACCTTGTCTTCTTCCGACAAATAATCCTTAGCTTCGATTTCTTCTCCCCTTGCGATGAGTTGAAGATATAAATATATAAAAATATATAAAGCGCGGTTAGCACCATCTTGATTAATTTATATTGGATCCATCCCTTTTTTTGTTTTTGCTTTACCTCAACGCTTTTTCATAAATACGACGGCCAATACGATCTTGGATTTCATCGACAGTGGATCGGAGTTGTTTGGTCACTGCTTGACCTTTGAGTGCTTCCACATTAAAAGAGTGAGTAGATCCAGGCATAATCAAGAAAGCCACCACTGTCGTTTTTGATTGAGCTGCTTTCAATCTACCATTGAGGCCTACAATGTAAAGAAAGGTAGATTACATTACAACGGATACTATTTATATAAATAGATTATGCAATCAAGTGTAATATAATTCTTACGTGCAAGAGATTCCACAAACATATCCACACCCTTGTTTCGATATTCGTAGCGCCCAGCAGTAAAGAAGTAGACAGTATTTTCCAGATCAAAATTGTAATGACCATAAAAGTGGCCCCGAACAAAGTCGTTGATCTTGTCCTTATTCATGGCGTGCTTGTTTTGGAATTCGTGAACCGCTTGGAATTTGACCACGTTCAACCCATTGGGCAACACACCATCTACGAGAAAAAAATAAAATAACAGGATATCAGTAAAGAAATCACGTTACATGGTTTACTGGTGGGGGGGGGTTTTTTTGCATGTCTTTTTACCTGGCTTTCGTTTCAGCAAATGTTCGCTTTCGTAAGCTGTGATGTGACTTACAGTAGTAAACACATCAGCACAATGAGCAGCTGCACGTTCAATGCAATAACGATGATAAATCCCACGTTTTCCAGCTTCGGCGTCGACATCAAAGTTCCTGAGATTGTTGTAAAAGTCCACCGAGCCAGCACAAAGATAGCGACCCAAGAGAGTAGCGTGTGTTGTAAATATAGTCGTAATATCCACTCTTCTTTTTTTCAATAACGGAATAGATACACCAGCTAACCATTCATGGAAATGAGCAATGATAGCAGGACTTGGTGTAGAATCAGGGCCTTGATTTTCGTGAGAATACTAATAGATAACAAAACTGAGTCAGTTGTTGATGACTATCACAAATCACTCCCTCTTACTCTTACCTTTGGAGCCAAATCACCTAAAAACCAAGTAACAAGATAACCAAAAAGAATAGCTTCGTTTGTTTCTTGATCACCAGTTGGACTAGGAATGCCAGCAGTAGACCACAAGTCACCTTTCCATTCGTCCAGTTTATCAAGACAAGCATTGGTATCAAATAATAAGACATAAGGAGCACCTTCAACCAACCAACGACCAAATAGATATTTTACACCATGAGCCTTCATAGTTTCCAAAGTATCCCTTATCAGCTCATTTGGAGGTTCAAGAGATTCCACTTCCATAGGTGCAGTTTGATATGATAAAGGCCCAATTAAACAATACCGATCCCCATATTCTTGGACAGTGACTGGCGCCTTGGTCTTGATCACAGTATATATACCTCCCACTAGAATAGTGTGGAAATTAAAATAAGAAAGGTTACATTAGTAATGATAAGAAGCAAGTTCCTGGTTTTTTTATGTTGTCAGTTTACCTTTGTTCGCCACTTCCCAAGCAATTTCGAATAGTAAGGGATTGTAAACATCTCTTTGGACATACATGGTAAGGTTCGACGCGGGTTGAGTGTTTTTTTGTATTGTTCTTTTTAAGAAGAAGAAGAAAAAAGAAGAAAGGAAAAAAAGTATCAAAACAAAAATTTATATATGCAGACCCAAAAAAAAAAAAAAAAGGTTCCCACCTAAAAGATAGCGCGCACACACCACCGTCAGTGTAACACTTGACAGGAATGATATGGGGTTGATTGTGTACCCGTTTTTGACTTTTTTGTTGGGTTATCAAAATCTACCATCATCACCTTTTATCTTGATCTCTGTATTGAAAAATAAATAAAAAATTGTAATACAAAATGATTACTATGGGGATCAAAATTAAGAAAAATGTAATATTGGGGAGGGACGGATCATATTTGATAAAGGCAGGAATTCTTAAAAATACAACAAAATACAGTACTGACCATGAAGGTAGTCTGTAATTATCACAGTTTCAGTTTATTTGTTGATAATGTAGCAAACATCACGAGTTCATGTTATGCTGGATGAGACTGGGCGAGCTAAAAAAAAAAAAAAAAAAAAAAAAAAAAAAAAAAAAAAAAAAAAAAAAAAAAAAAAAAAAAAAAAAAAAAAAAAAAAAAAAAGTGGTACTTTACAGTACTGTACTGTACAATATAAATATCATACATTTTATGTTTTTTGTAAAATAGCAATGATTTATTGTGGAATAAAGATATATGTATATATAGTAAAAGAGTGTGAGATAGAGTGTGTGTGCTCTAAACTACTATAGTAGAGGGAGGAGGGTAATTTCAAATTGCCGTCATCAAATTCAAGTATACTATAAATGAAGCACCTAACTTCGAAGGAATTTGCCAACAATGTGTAAACCGAAAACACTTGCAATAAATGTTAGAGACAGCACCAGCACAACCACAGGATCACTACACAATATATCAATCATTCATTGGTCAACTTTCGGTCCATTTCATCCTATCCCTCAAATCATTTTTATGCAAGCTTACACGCGAAGACCAGGTGCATCATCAGCATAGATACGCATCATACTTGAGGTACTGCCACCAGGCATGGGTCCACGGGAAGCATTTTGGTTTGATCGCGAAGTTACTCGCTTTCTACAATACAAAAACCAAATTGATAGTTGAATCAGTCATCGTCCTTCAGCTCTTTCAACAAGTTCCATAGATTCCTTATTCCACAATATAATTTATATAATCAACATGACATCTGTTCAATAACCATGTATTTAAAATCAACGAAAATATTTACCTGAAGGTACCTTTGGGAGTTGATGCGGGTGAGTCGGCCTAGCGATAGTAAAATAGAGCACAATCAGTTTTCTATCCATGTGTTGATATTTTTGGATAAATTATAGGCAGTCTCTATTATTTTTCCTTACCATGGTTGACGGGTAGATTATAAAGAAGAGCAATAGATGAGAAAAGAGAGGAGAGAAAATGAAGCGCGGAGAACTGGGTTGAATCATGAATTCGCCAAAAAAAAAAAAAAAAAGCTGTGGGTTTGTCTGATTGGCTAATTTCATTTAATCTTTTCTCACTCAGCAGAAATTTTGCAAAGCAATGGATGTTACAAGCTCTATCATTATTTATCTATAGATTAGGTGTTTTAATCAATTAAACCCCACTTTACCAAGCATGACTTGCCATCTTCCGTTATGTTTCGAACAACAAAAAGATGAAAATGGCTAAGGTAGCGTTCCATGCTTTTATTTTTAACTTCAGTCGTAACAACTCGGTATAATCACGAAGAGCTATGCGCTCTGTGCTTCATATGGAATTATGCATATATACAACTTACAACTGCCGTTGTCACAAATGAACCATTCAGTTTTATAACAGCATGATATATTTCTGTTAAACTGGAGCAGATAATTTTCGAACTCCGGTGCTATTGTTTTATGATAATGTAAAAAAAATATTTTTCAATTAACCCCTTTATAGCTCAGTTGGTAGAGCGGAGGACTGTAATGATTAATTGTCATCCTTAGGTCACTTGTTCGAATCAGGTTGAAGGGATTAACCTTTTGTTTCTTTGTCTTTTTTATTTTTTGACAGTTGTTTTATCATTTTGTTTATGTTTTTGGTGTTACGGGTATTTTTGGGTTTATATGGAAGTGATGTACCAAATATGTATGGTGTTACGGCTAATTTTGGTTGCTAGGTCGTAACTGGAAATTGTTTTTGTAGGTTTTTATTTTTTATAGAGTGAGCACCAGAACTTTTTAGGATTAAGTTCAACCGATTGTAGCTTCAAAGGCTTAAAGATAATAAAGGACGATACTTGAAAGTCCAAGTGAGGATGTATTATTTTCAAAGATGAAAATAATAAGGTCAATAAAATAAGTAGTGACTTAAATCAAGTCAAAAAAAATAAAGTGAAGCGAGATTCAGACTCAGCTGTCAAAAATATATAATAAAAATATTCCAAAGTGTGGAATAATAGGAAGCCAACAAGTTGGGAGGTTTAAAAAAACCTTTATAATAAATTTATTTAAAAATAATAAGTGATCAAAGATAAAATGTTCAAAGATAATTTTTTCTTTTTCTTTTTGATATTTTTTTGAAGGTATTTATACTAATTTTTATAAGGTTTAAAACTTCGTGCTTGAAACAAAGACTATCGTGCACCCGAAAACCCCGCTACTCCCGTAAACCATTTTGTTTCCGTAAACCATTTTGTTTCATCTTAAACAATTTTCAAGGTTGAGTTCAACCGTCACAATGGTTTGTTTGATTAATATGGGCCGTAACGGTATGAAGTTAACCTTTTAGTTATGTTCAAGTAGTATTTTACACCAAATAGATAGTGTATAAGTGTATTCTTGTTCTTGCTTGAACGGATTTGCAGCGAGGACCAAAATATATTTTTCCCCTGAATCGGAATTTGAAATGTCTTTTTTTGTTTACTTGACTTGTAGTCTTGAAAATAGAGAGTACCAAATATCCAAATATATTATTTGATATAAGTAGAAAGTACCAGATATGTTATTGGTAGTAAGTAGTGAGCACTAGAACTTTTGTAGAGAAAGTTTATAAAAATATACTTGGAAAAGTAAAATAAAATAAAAAGAAGAGTATTCACCTTTGTTGGTTCAATAAAAATATAGTGTATAACACACAGTAAAAAAGGACTTGTAGTCAAAAATAAAAGAAGGTTTCTATAATCCAATATAAACAGTGGATAATTGGTGGTGTAATAACCTTTGTACTAAGTTTTATTTGATAAATTGAGAAAACTGAAAAAAACTTCAGAAAAAAAGAAAAGGATAATAATAAAAAGGTGGGTTATTTATACTAAAAAATAAAAAAGAGAAGATGGTCGGAAGGTAGGTGTGAAGGCAAGAGGTGGTTCGAATGTATGGGTGGTTCAAGGTCATCAAGGAAAAAATCGTCAAGGGTAGTTCGGGATTATGTTTTATTCAAAGCATGGTGTGGTTCAGATGCATCAAGAGAAAATCGTCATGGGTGGTCCAGAGGCATCTTCAATCACTAAGATAGCAAAGGCGTCTGCAGGTTCACTGTTCCTGGGAGCGGCCTCAGGACGATCCTCGACAGATGAAATTCAACCGTTTGTAGTTTCAATGGCTTGAAAGTAAAATAGGATTAGACCTGAAAGTCCAAGTGGTGTTGTATTATTTTCAGAAATGAAAATAATAAAGGTCAATAAAATAAATGAAGACTTAGATCAAGTCAAAAGAAATAAAGTAAAATGAAATTCAGACTCAGCTGTCAAAAGTTTATAAAAAAGGTATTCCAAAAGTTGGAATAAAAGATAAACAACAAGTGTTGGTGGTTAAAGAAACCCGTTTCAATGAATTTATTATTATATATCAAAAAGAAAATGGATCGTAAGAAACTCAGCTTTAGTAACTTCAATTTCGCTCTTTTGGCCCTCCAACTTTTTTTTTTTTTTTTTTTTTTTTTTTACTGGCCCACCGCTGACGCCATGTCCACCATAGGAGCCGTCCATCCTTTTTTTTTTTCTCAATCGCTGCCCATTCATAGTGCCAAATCACAGAGTCTTCCATCCCATCTCATCAAAATCCACGCTTCTGAAACCCCCTGCCACCCAGTAGCTACATAATTAATACTATTCTCAACTTTGCTCTTCAATATACCCCACCGCAACAAAATACACTGTAATAGCTATTTTTTTACACAAACACATCCCTGTTTTCTTTTCTACGCACAAACTTATAGAGTTGGTGGAAGAATTCTCCATAATACCCAATCCGTTCCTTTTTCATATATATAGACACACTTTTTTTTTTTCTATGCAAATGTAATACACATTCGATGAAGTTCATCATGTAAACGTACAACAGAGAAACTAATTATAATAAAAAGAACATATTTATTCAGACGTAGATACAAACGATGGCAAACTAATACTAAACTAATGAGTGCTAATCTACTGTCGTTCCCAAATCCTACATAAAAAATGAAAGGGTTTCCCCATGATGTTTGTTTTGCGTTTTTAAAAACGCCCCTAATTCAAATTCTAACACTAATCCTAGATCATCAGAACCCCACTAAGCCTTGCCATCATATCATTCAGGCTATAAGAAGGAAAAAAATAAAAAAGAAAGAAAAGAGAGGGGAAAAAAAAAATGGGGCCCAAAAAAAAATAGAAAGCAAAATGCGGAGTCTGAATCATCCAGGCTTTTTTTTTTGTCAAAAAATCAGGGAAGGGGCAATCGCCAGAAAAACCTGGTAAATACCCAATAAAGAAAAATAGCTGTACATATCATTTTACATGGATAATATAGTACTACAGAAAGCGTTTATGCGCATATAAAATAATCAATACGCACACTACACTTACAACACATTTATTCGAAAGTAACACTATATATGCTTAATTTCTTCTTGGTTATATATTGATTACAATACAACAGAAACAAAGCATAGTAAAGAAACGCTAAAAATAAGTAAAAAGTCAATGAGAAGTACCATCATATGTAAATATAAAGATGTTAACATTGATGGTGTATGACAATTTAAGAGATAAGAAGGTCATTTGGTCATGTACAGGAACCACTTGTATAGTTTCACACGAATAATCAAGTACCTCTAACAACATTTACCAGACGTAAATAATACCTATAAAAGTACTTATTTCTTCATTTATTTTTGTCATCATTATTTCTCAATCAATTCATTTTTTTTTTACACAAATCACTATCTGTTCTTATTCTCAAAGTATATTCTTTCTCAAGTACAGGTCATATATTATATATATTTTTTCTTTATTATTGTTGTTTGTAAGTGTCGCCCTGCCAAGCTTTCTGCTTCTCCTCTCCTATCCACTCTCCTCTCATCACTGTCGCCCTTACTTCAGGCCTATTATATTGGTCTTCCACAAGGCGGCATGATTCCGCCTTCCAACTACAGCAGCATGTGCCTTCCCCACCCTCTCTCTCTCGCTCTCCTTACTAGTACTAAATACGTCGTAATGAATTACCCATTATTCTCGCATAAGTTTTTTTTTTTTTCAAAAAAAGTAACATTTTATAGAATGAAAGCCAATCGACCTTATTCTCTATCACTTTTTAACTGCCTGAATACGTATTATCCCGTCCCCGTCCCAATATTATTTTTTCCCATCCCAAAATATTCCTTCACCATCTTAAATTATTTATTCTTCAATTCAAATATTATTCCAAGGAATCATAAGAAGAACTTATCACTAAATTTTTATCTTGGTACCGTTTATACTTCATCTCTATTGAAAGTGAATAAACTGTGCTGGACTCTCTTGATTTCATCAATGGAGTTTAAATCCCGATAAGCCGGGAAAAACGACTTTTTTTTTTTTTGGATTCACATTTCTCTATTTTTTTTCTATTGAACTTTTTGCTCCTGCTAAAAATATGCCTACCATTGGTATCCAGACCATCAAAGACGAAAATTCTTTATGCGAAAAAGTCAGTGGAAACAGCAACACATCCTTCACAGAGAAACGACAAACTACTCGCCATGTACGTTCTGACAGTCAGGATGCTTGCTCCATTTGTTACGAACGACCTAGTTTTCCTTTAGTGCCTCCTCTTAATTTTGCTATGGTTGCGACTGGTGTATATCGATCGGGTCATCCCAACAAACAAAACTTCTCATTTTTAAGAAAGCTTGGCTTGAAGACGATAATGTAAGCAAATTATATTGGGTGAGGTTGGGCGGGGGGTCAACCAAAAAAAAAAAATACTGTTGTTGATCTTCATTGATTATATTGATCTAGGTACTTTGCGATGGAAGATTACCCACCGGAAATGAAACATTTTGTGGAACATGAAGGGATTGAAGTTTTGCACTTTCGTATGGAGGGAAACAAGGAACCTTTTGTGGAAGTCAACAAGGATGATATCTCTCTTGCTTTGGTCAAGCTATTAGACGAACGAAGCCATCCAGGTAAGATAGAGGGCACGTTGATGTAAGAAAAACGGGATTGTACTCACTTTTGTCACTGGTTGATCTATTCTAGTGTTGATCCATTGCTTGAAAGGAAAACATCGGATAGGTTGTCTTGTTGGATGTCTACGCAAAATCCAAAAATGGTCCATGACTTGCATCTTTGATGAATATAGAAAGTTTGCGGGTACAAAAGTACTTGCCGATCAGGAAGTAAGTAATGACTACAAGAAGAAAAAACTCATCAGGACCTATATTCACACACGACGACGTTTGACATCTATGGATATTTTGTTATAGTTTATTGAAACCTTTGATCATGAAAATGTACAATATGACCCGCTTTATCAACCTGTGTGGCTGTAGTATTATGCATTGTGTTAGATATTTAGTGATACCCCCACCCTTAGCAGTATAATATTATTAGTCTTCTTTATTCATCCGCCCCCCCCTATCATTGTATTTGCTAATGTGTTTCTTGAAACAAGTCCAAATAAAATATTGTTATCTTTTCAAATTTTATATTGTCATTCTGTAGTTATACTATGTTTGTCTATGGGAGAAGAATCTGCTTTGCCTTCATGTAGTATATATTCTGGTGAAAAAAA